ATCGAGCGCTCGCTCTCCTGAACACGCCTCTGTTGAAACAGAACGACAACAAAACAGCGCCCCCTACTTTCAGGCAAATGTTTACCTTTTTTGTTGTTTTTTTGTCTTTTTTAAGACCGAACAAACGGTTTTCAACCGAGTATAGTTTACAATTCGTCCCGTGTACTCATCGATCTCTTCTGTAAATTTGGCGCTATTTGGATGCAAACTGACGGAGCCTTTCATTAACATACATACATACATAGAACATTCGCCAAATTATAGTAAGATACAGAATGCTGCCAGACTCGACTCCTATTCAGTGTACATTACCATCACACATTCGTCACATACTATAGTCCCTCTATTCACACACTCGCAGTTCGTGGCGGGGCAGTCTTAATAGACTATAGAAGCAGCCCATAAACATTGAAAAAAATACAACTAATAATAAACAATAACAAACAAGTCGACAGCAGCAACAACAACAACAACATAATAATAATAATAATAAAATAATAATGGTAACATCACACATCCTGCGCAGAATTCTGGATTGAATCCCTATGTCCCAGGTTGGCACGGCCAACCCAGAAGCCACCGGCTAATGCCATTGATCCACATTATAAATAATAATGATAATGATTGTAACGTTGAAATGAAGTTCGTTGAATAAATGATATAGAAGGAATCCAAAACTTGTGTGGTAACCGGAATAAACTTTAATAACTGCTCGCACACAGTGTGTCCATCTTGCACAAAGACAACGCATCGCGCACACGACCCCTACATCTCTCTTCTCTCTCCAAAACCCCGCCATAATCCCACATGTCTACACCCGCTCTGCTCACCACCCATTTCACAGTCACCCTAGAAACTCCCGACCTAAAACACGTTTACAATAATTCTCCCTAATACATCAATGTAGCCGCAACAAGATGCGCGACGCTGTCGATAGACTATTACTAAAACAGCCCCTAGTCTAGCTACCCCCACAACCCCCACTGACTACTATATTTAAACATCTGTACATCACATGTTACATGATAATTAATGATGAATTAAATCGGTAATGGGCGTTCACGGCTACATAATACAGTTTCTGCGCAGCGTGCATGGGCGCATGCGCAGCACAGAATCCGATGTGAGTGTATGGAAGGTTTTTAATGTCTCTCGCCATCTCTACTTTGCTGTCGCATCATTTTGCATCGCTACATAATCTGCTTAGAGTTCTGGCTTCGCTGGTTGTCGCTGCTCGTCGCCAGCCTCAGTCTGCGCATTTACTCGTTATCGGCGGCTCGGCTGTGGTCGCTCTACACGCTGCCCGTTGTGTGTGTGTCGTGTTGCGTTTGTGGTGTGTGGTGTCGTGTGAGCTGTGGTGTGTGTGTGTGCGGTGGTTGCGTAGTGAAGTGTGTGCGTAGTGTGTGCGTGTGTGTGTGCGTGTTGCGTGAAGTTGTGTGTGTGCCGCGCGCGTGTGTGTGTGTGTGTGCGTAGTGTGCGTGTGTGTGGAGCGCGATGTGCGTGCGTAGCGTGCGAAGCGTGCGAGCCGTAGTGTGCGTGTGTGTGTCCTCACCAGCAATGCAGAACAGAGCGTTGTGTTGTTACGACGTGGCAACGAAAACACACGTAGCGGGCGCGACTTGCGGTGCAGTGTTTTTTTTACCTCTTTAAACGGCACCGCTTGCCGCGCATCGCGTCTACCGCAAGACGATTGTCGCGAACGAATCGCTGCGCGTTACGCATAAATGCCGTAACGTCGGCTCCTCTTCCCCGCATGGACGGCGGCGGCACATTTTTTTTTTTCTTTTAAGCGGCGGAACGGCCCGGCCGATTTAAGCTTGGCGTGGGTTATCTGCGAGCGGCAGCGGCGGGACGGCGGCGACGGAGGCGGCGGCGGCGGAAATAATTGACGAAGAATTCATTGGGGAGGGTGAGGTGGGAAGGGTAGGGGAAGGAGAGGGGGAGGGAGGAGGAGGGGAGAGGGGCGGCAAGAGAAATGGGGAGGGAGAAGGAAGGGAGAGGGGCGGCAGGGGGAATGGGGAGGGGAGAGGGGCGGCAGGGGGAATGGGGAGGGGAGAGGGCGGCAGGGGAATGGGAGGGAGAGGGCGGCAGGGAAATGGGGAGGGAGAGGAGCGGC